TCATCTTAAGTGAGAATAACAGCACAATTGGAAGAGCGTAGTCAATGTCACCGAACTATGCATGTAGAAATTTTTGAAATGGTGTATCTTTGCCTATGTGTATTTTCACCAAAAAAAAAAAGTTGAGAAGTTAGAGGGTTAATAAGTTGTGGAGTTGTTAACCAATGTCGTAAAACAACATCTGTACTACTGTTTCATGAGAAACTATTTGTTCTGTAAGCCTTCACCTGAAGTACAATAAAAAAAAAAGAAAAAAAAGTAATAACCAAGAAATCAAAAGATGCATTGCATGGAGCAAATCTGCTGCAAAAGACCTCTTTAAAGTGTTAAAAAGCAAAGATGTCACTTGGTGGACCAAGATGTGCATGACTCAAGCCATGGTACTTTCAATCACCTCATATGCATGTGAAAGGTGGACGATGAATAAGGAAGACCAAAGAAGAATCAATGCCTTTGAATTATGGTGTTGCTGAGGAATACGAATATACTATGGGCTGCCAGAAGAAGGAATAAATCTATCTTGGAAAAAGTACAGCCAGAATGTTCCTTAGAACCAAGGATAGCAAGACTTTGCCTTATGTTTGGACGTGTTATCAGGAGGGACCAGTCCCTGGAGAAGGACATCATGCTTGGTAAAGAAGAGGGTCAGCAAAAAAGAGGAAGACCTCGACATGATGGATTCACACAGTGGCTGCAACAATGGGCTCAAACAAAGCAATGATTGTGAGGATGGCACAGGACTGGGCAGTGTTTCATTCTGTTGCACATACGGTTGCTATGAGTCGGAACAAACTTGATGGCATCTAACAACCTTTGTATTACTATATTAATTATGTTCTCATCTTAATATACTACAGAATTTGTGATGATTCTTCAGTTGAGTTCCTATCCTATGGCTCCCCATGGAGGTGACTAAATTTTCCCCTATGGTGTGCAATAGCTCTTTTTCAAAAGACAAAGGAAAAAATGATGTAATAGCTCTCCCTTGGGAAGGAATTTACTTCCTCCATTGATCCCCCAGCTCCTCCTGCCATGAGCAGGAAAGCAAAAATACTGAGATTTGTGCCAGAAAAGGGACCAAGAATCTGTATTGTGACCAAGAGTGAGGCTATTTTTGGTTAATCAGTAAAAAAGAGAAATTAAGTCATTGCTGTTTGTTTTTCATTCAGAAATTTGCCAGGAGATGTAATCAGGAGCCCTTCCTTCTCTCTTGAGGAGCTGTCTCCACACATCTCAGTTCCATTACTCCAGTTCCGCACACAACAGTGATTCCACAGCAAACACGTTCCAATGGGAGCCCCTTTTACACGTAGAGGGAAAGGAATCTGTCCCCAGTATACCACTCAAAGGAAATCTTGTTCTATTAGATGATGTGTAGGGAGAAGCTTATTTGAATGGACATACAATACTTGTAGTTGGAAAACTGTTCTTGCTGTGTTGCTTTTGATGGTTGTTGAAAAACTATCATAATATATTAAGAAATATACATCTTTCAAGCCAATTCTAAAAAAAAACCTCTCAAATCTTGAGTTAAGAACAAACGTTTTAAGATAAAATTTAAAAGATAAAAGTCCTAGCTTTTCTAGGGCTATCAGGGAATTCAACATAATAGTAATAGGTGTCTCTGGATGATGAAATTATTCAAGATTTCTACTATCTTTTATATATATTTTCTCATTTAGCACATAATATTTTTATAACCAGAAAAGCAAGTGTTATATGGATTTTAAAAATCTGCTTTCAGTTGTATTTGTTTTATTGTACAAAAAAAGCCAATATGTCAAAATACTAAGATGTGATAAGAAAGTTACGCTCAATAATTTTTCAATATGTTCATAATACTTCACTTGATTTTCTTAGCCTTGTAAAGCACAAGATATTGTATGTGAAAATATTAAGCTATCCTCCTTTGAATACCAATTTAAATTTAAGGGGAATTCAGATCCAAATAAGAATTCTAAAAATCAGAATTTTTTTTTGAGGAAAATCTATCAAATAAATTAGAACCTGAGTCAGTATCAGTCTTTTCATTGCTAAACACCACACAAGTGATAGCAATGAGCTTGCTTTTTTAAAAAAAAAAACAGAAAAACCTATTTATTGACCTCCTAGCATTACACTGAGGGAAAGCTGGGGCATCCCTGTTGTCTTTTCCTGGCAGGAAAATGTTAGCATTTTAACATTTGGCAAGCTGAAGATTTTGACTCTGAATAATGAATTAAAGGCACGGCCATTATATCTTCATTTGACATCATATTAGGCTTCCTGTATCATTATTATTATTATTATTGGTGCATTGTTGAATGTTTTCCCCTGAAGTAAAATTATTTTATATATGTAAGTTTGGAGTATCTTCTTGGGGGCAGTTTGTTTGTTTCAGAAAATAATTTTTCCCTAAAGGGAAAAAAAAAGATTCAAGATATTATGCATTAGGGATTTGAAAACACATTCCTTATCAATAATATGTAAGAGAATTTTTTTTAATTTTTCTACTATCAAAGTTTTCTTTGCTTTTTCCATCCATAAAATTGGTTTCTCACACAGCTAATAATCTTCATCTGATTCGTTTTTAAAAATTATTTCTTATCACCTGCTGAGTCTGAGTGCTCGTCATCCCTGTTGTTAGGTAAAAACGATATTCAAAGTCACAGTTCTTCGTAATCTATTGCACTCTCCTCTCAACATTCTGAAGGACTCTCCAAAATTTCCCTTGCTAGGAATGCTAAACTAAAATAAATCTCCAAGAACTCCTCCCCAAGCCCTGGAGAGGACCGAGAAGGTACCTTTATGTTTTTCTAGTAGGTGACAAAAGCCTCGGGTGGAGCCTGGGAGATTTCAGCGAGAGGTGGACAGGAGCCAGGTGACAAAGGCGGAGACGCGGCCATGACTAGGGAGGTGCCTAACTCTAGTCTTCCGTCTAAATTGTGACTTCGGGAGATGATGGTTCAAGGTCTGAAGAAAGCCGCGAAGTCATGACAAGTAGTAAGACCTGGGAGGCCCTGTGCTTGGGTTCTTTCCTAGACTTAATGAGCACATAGTTTTGTTTATGATAATACGCACACAGAATCCAACAAAGCTGACGTTCACATTCTGGTCGCCAGAATGTGCTCCTTGATCCGTACACTCCCACTTCATCAGTCCAGACGCTCCGCGCTTCGGGTCGCCTCTGATCACAGCACTGGGGGCACTAGTGGCGGCGGGCGCTAGGACCTTGCCTGCAGCCCCTGCGGCAAGGCGGGAGGCCACCGGCCGCAGAAGAGCGCCTCCGCCCACCCCGCCCCTTCCCAGCGGAGCTCAGGAACAGGTGGAATCGCACCCAGGGGTCTGAAATGCCGCCAGCCTCCATAGAAACCAATCCTGCGAACCCAGAGCACCATGTGGGCGGGCTCTGGGGCGGGCGATCGAGGCCCCCAGCCTGGAGGTCAGCGCCACGGGGAGCCGGGGCACCCGCGGGACCCGCCGACGGGAGCGCAGCACGTGACGCCCCTTACACCTTTGTCCCCTAGGCCGCGCGGTGGTCTCGGCCCCCCTCCCGGAGCCCACGCCCGTCCCAGCCTCAGCTCCTACCCGGCCCCAATGTACGCTGACCATTTCGCGAAAAACATGGGCAACCACCGCAGAGGGTTCGACAGTTTGCGTCTTTCCTGGCGCGACCCAAATTCTTTCGGGCGTCTTCCTCTGGAAGAAGGCGCCAGCGCCCCAGCTTCCAGGGGAGCCAACGGACTAGGAGACCGCTCCCCAGAGTTCCCAAGACCCACGGGCTGTCGTCCCCACCCCCGCAGCCTCCGCTGCCCTCTCTGAGGTTCCCAGCCCGACACCCTCCAGCCCGGAGCCGGTGCATTACCTGTTGGCCGCCAGCCGAGAAGCAATGTAGCCGCCTGGAATCTGGGTGATGATGTAGCCCCAAAAGAAGGAACCATGGATCATCCCCACGGTTTCTGGGTCCCAGTTGAATTTGGCTTTCTATGAGGGTAGGAAACAAACCAAACGGAGGGAGAAAGAAAATGATCAGTTCTTGGGCTGGAAACTCACGTTCATGGTTCGCAGGCCCAAAAGCCCTCAACCCCCGGGGCACTCCCTCTATCCCCGGGGTGGGGGTGGCTGAATTTTTGTTTCCTAACAAAACTATTCTATACCCCGTTATGGAGAAGAAATGCCTCTTTTAACTGAAAAATCGTGCTCATTAACGAAATATATTGTTATTAATAGCGGGGACAAGCCAAATAACCAACGCGGCTTCCGCTAGGCACCCAGGGTTTGCTCCCTGAAGACTTTCAGGTAGGTCGGACCAGACTGAGGAATCTGCAGCGCCCTCAGGCCGGAAGTCTGCCGCTCAGATTGTAAGAATGTCCAACCCCAATCTTGGAAATTCAGATTCTCCATTAGCCGGCTGGGGAGAGAGAGACGCCGGACTAGGGTCCGTTTAACCGACGGCGGCCTGGGCAGGTGCGGACGTAGCGACGCTTGGAAAATGAAGCTAACTCGAGACCCAAATAGGGAAATCTGGGGGAAGGAAATGGGGACGGAAAGTGCAGGAAGGATGTCCTCGCAAAGTGGGGGGATGGGAGTGGAGCCGGAAAGACTTGGAGCGGACGGGGCAGTTTAGAGAGTCAGAGGGGAGGGAGGGGTGTTCCAGAAAGTAAGAACTGTAGGCGAGGGATGTCTCTGAAGGTTGCGGCCTACCGCCGCCCAGGCCCTCGTGGGCCTTTCTCTCATCCGCTGGGCCCCAAGCGGTGAGCCTCAAATTAAACTGGGGCGAATTACCCGCATCGGCACGGTGGAAGGGTGCTTATCCGCCCAGGGACCTGGGGACAGTTTTTCTCCGTTTGAATAAAATTTTGAAACTAAACGCAATTTGCAGAGTCCTCCGGACTCCCCAGGGGATCAGTGGAGCTCCCCTCTCCCCATCCAAAGCCCATTCTGGAATGTCTCTACCAATCCTTCCGCCGCCTGGCTTATGGCTACCCTGGTCCATAAACAGAGAGTGGGGACTCTCGGGTTTCTGCGACCTTGACGTGACTCTGCCCTCTCTAGGCCTCACCACCCCCAACAAACCGTAAGATTACAACGAGGCTGGACTCGCAATACCCCGGAGACTCTTCTGCTGTGGCTCCTACTCGCATCCGCTAAGTTTCCTAAAGTCCTCTTGGATGGAACTGCCGAGATGCGCATAGTTTGATTTGATTTCTGTTTTATATTGATTATTAATAATGTTTTGGAAGAAATTGGAGGAGGTAAGGAAAAAATTATAATATGCTGCCCATTCCTTAGGGTAAAAGGAAAATTTTTTATTTAAATTTAGCGGACGTTATTAGTCACCGACTCTGTGCCCAGCTAGCTGCTAGGCTAGGCGCATACACCTTGTATGAAGCCACACTTCACAAAAACCTAGTGACCCCGGCACTATTGTTCTACTTTGCAAACGAGGAAAGAAAGGCCCAGAGAGCAGAAGCGACTTGCTCCAGGAGCGGAAAGGGAGGTGATAGTAATACTGCGGTGCATTCTAGGTTTGCAGAGCTAGACGGGGACTTAGTGAGCATCCCGGCCTTCCTTCGTCTTGCAGTTGGGGAAAACAGGGCTGGCACAGGTGAAGTGGCTTTACGAGGCTACGTGGCGGCCCGGCGCGATCCGGGAGCTGCCCACCTCCTTGATGACCTTGCCCCCGCGATGGATGGTGCTGTTGTTGACCATGTCCACGATGGCCACGCCCAGATTGCAGCGGATGCCGAAGGAAATGCAGAAGCCCAGGCCGCTCATGATGGCGATGATGTAGCGGCGCGGCAGGCCGAAGCACGTGCAGTCGCACAGCGGCGCCTTCTTCTCCGGCACGTCCAGGGGCTTCCCATCCTCCGTCAGCTCGATGGTTTCGCCGGTGTCTTGCTTCTTCTCCAGCACCCTGCGTGGCAGAGCGAGGGGGAGGCAAGGACACCGCGAGTTAGGCACCCATTGCCGGCATTCTTCCCCACTCCCAGCCTTCGAGACTCAAGGGTGGGGGGCAGACGCTGATCTGCTCTCTCCTCCCTCAGGGGTTAGGGTGGGACGACACCTGGTTTCCTGACCCCCAAGGCCCTCTGGCAGTATGCCCATTCCCTCCCCTTGGCAGCGACCTTTCAATTTTAATACCTTCAGGCCTAAAGCCTGCCCATTCCCTCAGGATCTACCCTGCAGATTAGCCGCACCCGCCACTAGGGCCTGACTTTCTTGGCGGGTCTGCAGTTTGTGCGCGAAGGGGTTATGCGAGCGGCGCCTGCCGGGCACCAGTGTAGACGCCTCCCTCCGCAGTGCTTTACCCCCGCGACGGTGGGTGTTATCCAGCTACCCAGCCTCCGGATTGCTGCCCCGGTGCGGGCGGACCCTGCCACAGCCTCGCACCCACGCTACCCCTTTCTTTCCAGCCAAGTTGAAGCTTTCCAGGTTGAGGACGCCGGGATCCCGCCTCCCAGCTGAGCCCAGGGTCTCCAGGGACTAAGGCGTCCCCTTGCCAGTGCCCACGCGGAGAAGGGCTGTGAACGCTGAGTGTCACACACTCTACTTCCCCCTCCTCCAGCCCGAGGTTCACTGCTTACCCCCCTTTACAAATCTTACTTTTTTTTTTTTTTTTTACTCGAGTTTGAAACAAAGGCCTCCGCAACATATGGCCGACACCTAAGCTTCCTACTGCCAGAACATGAATAATTAATTATTCACAATCTTGCGTCATTACTATCTGGGTTACAAGCACCGAAAAATCTCGGGCCCATTTTCAAAACCATAAAATGCGACTCCCACATATACAAACGCGCCCCAATCAACTCTGTTTAAAATGTTCCACATCGACGTGGAAAATCTCACAGTAATTATTATTTTTAAAATTTGCATAGTATTTCAGAAGATTTCACCCGTAGGATTCAGTTCTTTCGCGCTTTCGTCCCTGGGGGAAGGGAGAGGAGGAGTGGTGGAATGGTTTTACTTAAAGGCAGTAAGTGTTGTTCTAATTCACAATATACTCGTGAAATTTCTGTTCAAAAAACGAATAATGTAAAGGGTAACATCTCTGTGAAATCTTGGGATTGATACTTCCGATATTCCAACAAAGAACCTTTCCGTTTACAATTTGCAGAGTTTTCCTAACCTTGTAATTTATTTGTATATGTGCTTTTTAAATGATATATATATTCACTCACGGTTGTTTTCATGCACACACAGAAGCAAATGAAATATTTAGGTCAATTCCAAAAATGTAGAGTTCGGGATATTGCGGTAAAGCAATTTGAGGCTACCAGAAAATAATGTACGACTTTCATATTCTCCAAAATATCACCTGGGGAATAAGTCATAAAGATATTCTAGGCTATTTTAGTGCTTATTCCTAAACCCCAGTGTTAGAAAATGTAATTTATTTATTCTGGGAGAAAAAAAATCATCTAATGTGATTTTTTTTTTTTTTTTTTACACTGGCTTCGTATGCTCACACATGCAAAGCTGAACTCCCCATCTGATGGCAGTTGGGCTGCGAAAGAACAGTTCTTTTGGGGCAGCTGCAGGGCTGCAGGGCCGTTGCGGTATCTACTGCCGCATAGGAGCATGTTGGCTCCTACCTGAAGCCCACCCGAACCAAAGAGATTTGAAAACAGGGAGTCGCTTTAGTCAATTTCTTTACATTTCCTATACATTTCAAAAGGCTTCAATTTCCCAAATTTGAAAATTAGTGCCCTGTTGGAATCGTTTTGCACGTTTCTCTCAGCTCTCCCTTCTTGATGTAGTCCACATTTTTAAGAAGAGGTGTATTAATGTAACACACTTGAAAGATTTTAAATTTGTTAAATTTACAGCATAATTAGTATAGAGACTATCGGGAGGATAAACTTTTCTTTTTTTTAAATCATCTCTGGTAGGTTCAAACCTATTTTGACCGTTATTATTCTTACAACCACTGTGGCATTTTCCATGCAAGAAAAAGAATTCTAGGCGAGGACACATAATTAAAATACATACACATTGTTTCAGGTTCAGAGAGAGGAACTGCTTCACCTATCAATTATTGATATATTTTGATTCCCCTTCCTTTAGTACAGAAGGAAGATTCCACTGGGGGATTCTCTATTCCAGTGGTTTTTAAGCTGGGATCTAAATTTCTTTTTGCCATTACTCTTTGGATTGTCTTAGTTAATTTTTAGAGGCTTTTATTTTTTCCTCATTTATTTACATCAAAATAATTTAATTCTGGGTAGCTTTAAGCACCAAAAGAAGGGCTCCTTGACCAGGTATTGACCATTTCTCAATTGTAAAGAGGATAACTCCAGGGTTGAAATGGCTGAGAATCTGCAGGTCCCAAAACAAAAATCACACACACACATACACACAACAGACAGGTTCATTTAGTGCAACATTCCTGAATTAATAAACAGGTTTCCAGAGCAGCCCGGCTCAGCAAGGAGCAACAAAAGACTTTCTGATCATATTACAATCTCTCTAAGCAACCAGGGTTTGCAGAAATGGCCCTGCAGATTTTTTTTTATGCTGAGCCCCAGGCAGGCATGGTTTTGCTTTCTCTTACCTGTAGATCTGGCCGAGGGATTTCCCAGCAAAATTCTTTAAACCCTCTTTTCCTGGGGTCAAAATCCTTTGTTTTACCGACTCCATTCTTGCAAAGACTAGTGTCGGCTGCTGCCAGACTTAAATAGTTATCGCTATGAAAGGAGGGGGTTGCGCATATTGTCTGAATCGCTTAAGGTAGTTGTTGGCTTTTTCTTCTCAGCGAATTGGTATTAGTGTGCCTCCAGTAAGAGTGCGAGCGAGAGAGGGGAGGCAGAGTGAGAAGAGAACGAGAATACAACCGAATAGCTGCATGCAACCCACGGGTTTCCTAATAGGAGAGTTGGTAGACACAATCAGAAAGTCTCATTGGAAGGGGAGGATCCGGTGGCAAAGGGCGCACGCAGTGCCATGGTATTTGGGCGGGTGCAGAGGAGTCCTTGTCCTGGAAGTCAGTTCACTGAGAAACAATGTAAATTCCCGGTTTTGAAGGGCTTATTGCCGTCAGAATCTGCGCTGGCTTTTAAAAGGAGGGGGCGGAAGTATCAAAGAACCCATATGTGTAAGGGTAAAGTCACAAGAAGAGTACTTTTAAAATGGTGTCTTTGCCGTAAGGAGCAGAGCACTTCCAAAACTCATGGGAGCGTGTCAGGTCTCAGGTGAGCAATGCTGCTATTAGTTTTTCCTCCCTGCCCATGATCTGCTTCACGCCGGCGCAACTCTGCTCTGCAATAGAGTCGAATTAAGATGGAGAAGGCTTGCTGTTCTTTGAGAACGTGAGTAAATAACAAATACACGTTCTGATTTTGGCAGCGGCCGCGAAGATTTTTTTCAGCACGGCTGACAGCGCCCTTCTGAGTGGGTCTCGGCAAAATGGTTCAGCACCACGGACAAGAGTAAGTTTCAATAAAAGGGGAAGCCAACTTTCTAGGGGAGATGGGCGGATCAACCTGACCTAGGGGAGATGGGCGGATCAATCTGACCTAGGGGAGATGGGCGGATCAACCTGACCGAGGACCATTCTGGGGCTCTTCAAGAATGGATGCTATGGAAACCAAGTGGGAAGATGTCATCATATCCCGGGTTTGCCGGGAGAATGGTGCATTTGACTCTACAAGGGACGAAGGCTTTATTAAAAATTGACAAGTGACTTTTAGTTTCCCACGTTTTGCCCTGCACGCTGACGCCAGCACTGACAGTGTTGCAAGGAAGGAAGATTACAATGTATTTCACTTATGTTTGCGATATTCCTGGGCACCAGGGATCCCTTGAATATACAACGTTTGCAAGAAAATGCATAATTCTATTGTTCATGTGTTTTTTTTTTTTAACCCCTGATAGGAAAAGAAGGGGAGAAAGAAGAAAAAGAGAGAAAGGGGGAGAGAGAGAGAGAAACTGTAAACTCAGTTAAACGAAAGACAGGAAGTCTAATATAAATTTCTTGCAAATTTTAAGCTTCTTCACTTAACTAATTTACAGCACACTGCTGAAATATCAATAAACTGATGAATTTTGTGGCTATGCCTTGTGCTTATCAACAAATTATCATCTTCTGAAACACTTCATTGATTGTGTTTCCAAGATTTATTTTAAAAACTTATATTAATAGCTGTTATATTTTTTTTCTTTACACTATCTTTTCTTAACACAGATAGTCGTGAAAGACTTTTGGTTTCACATATATAGATATGGCATCAATGGATCCATTTCATTAACCAAAGCAAGAAAACTATGCTAGCTTAATATTAATTATTAATGCATTTCACATGACTCACAAACATCTTAGATACAATTCAGCAAATGCTTAAAAAACAGATTGGCCTTGAACTACATTTTCAAGGTCAAAAACCTTGGATTTCATTGACACCAACAGGGGGAGTACATTTTACTTCAGGACCCTGAAGCATGGATCTAAACACAGAATCATGCAAGAATGTTCCCTGAATCAGCTAAATGATACATCAAATATATATAAGCTGAATGGACAGCATAAAGAAATAATCTAAAGTAGCTAAAACCATCTGCTATTATTAAATGAGATCATCATCAAATTATATTCCATGATGAATGATGATAAAGAAAATGATACCAGAGGTGTCTTTCCCTTATTTTGATAAATATGCATTAAAATGTGTATCACCAAAAAAATTGAACCATATTTTTATAAAGCTCTGGAATACCTCAACATAGTATCTATCCACAAAAGACATCAAGTATGAGAAAGAAAGGAAAAAAAAAACGCCTCAACGAACTACCTCCCTGCAGACATAAGATTCAAGCTATTTAGGACTTGATTCTTCTAAGCACTTTTCAAAATATCTATATTTGTCAAATCCATAGTGAGCAATTCATTCAATTTGATAAATTTAGAGATACCCATGACTTTGGAAATTTGCAAAGTTATGAAAAAAACATAGTCATAATTAAATATCTGTGAAGCTATGATGGTGATAAAAAAATGATCCCCCGAAGTACTCCTGCTTAAATATTACCCCAAATGACTAGAGATCTAAACCACCACTACGATACTTTCCTGAGGGGACACCAAGCCCTATAAATCCAACACAAAAGCATTGTATCTAGAGTAAAATAATTACGTTCACTTTTAATGACATAAGTGTCGTTTGTCTCTCTCCTACATTCTGTTGATAGGTTAACTGAGTGCCTGAATCAGGATAACTATTAATATTGATTTATTCATTCTAAAAATATTCATTGAGTGCCATGAATTGCACTAGGTTCTATGAATGCCTGCTCAAAAATCTTATAAGCAATTTGGGAAATAGACACATGAAATACAATTACAAATCCTTGTGGGTGGAATTAGACAAGTTAAATAACTCAGCTTGGGAGGGAAAGGATTTTAGGAGGTGATGTGTCCTTTTCAGTCTTAATAATTTAAAAGAAATTTAGCCCTGTGTAGGTGATGCCAGCCCAGTGGAATTGGGTGGGGAGGGGTATTGGTACTTGGAGAGCATCCCAACCAGAGGCAATATCTTGCACAAAGTCATGAACAAGGGGAAAACTTACATGTGGAAGATTACAAGAGTTGTTACAAGGCCACCTGATACTGAAGAATGCCATTTATGGCATCCTTAAATTAATTCCTACTCCCAAATACAGGAGACATATATTCAGACACTATCTACTAACCCAACAGATTTTCTTCATGTAGAGTACCAAATTCCAAACACTAATTTTTTTACCCTAAATTTACCAGTTTATCTTTCTACAAACAAATATTAGTAGAAACAGGTATGATATTATTTTAGGGATATCAAGAAAAGCTTTCTTTTTCTGGACACCCTCTCTTACCCACAATATCTTCCATGCAATTTAAACAGGGCCTAAAATTGTATCCTGTCAGTTTGTCATACTGTGCTAACTCGTGTGCTCCTGTGATGCTGGAAGCTATGTCACCCTATTTCAAATACTAACAGGGTCGCCATGGTGTACAGGTTTCAGTGGAGCTTCCAGACTGAGACAAATTAGGAGAAATGCCTGATGATTTATTTATGAAAATCAGCCAATGAAAACCCTGTGAATTGCAATAGAATATTGTCCAATATAGTGCTGGAAGGTGAGCCCCCTAGGTTAGAAGCTACTTAAAATACTCAGTGGTCATAACAATGGATTTGAACATACGAACAACAGTGAAGATGGCCCAGGACTGGGCAACAGGCAGCATTTTGTTCTTTGTATATGAGCTAACTCAAGGGCAACTAACATCAACAACAGCAAAATTGCATCATTAGGCAACTCTTCCTGTAGGGGAAGAATTATGCCGCCTTCCCAAATACTCAACAATGAAAGGAGAGTGTCTCATTGGATGTATGAACATGTTCAACATATTACAATTTATGAATGCCTTTCATTTACATGATTTCATTTATTCCTCGTAATTATTCTTTAAGCTAAAATAGTTTTATTCCTATTTTATTGAGGAGTAAAATGAGATTTAATACATTGTCTGAAGTCATGTAACCAGTAATGAGGAAGCACCATGGGTGAAAGCATACATCTCACAATTTACAATCTTGTTGAAACACAGATTCTGATTCAATAAGCCTAGAGTGGAGCTTGAGATTGAACAGTTCTAAGTTTTAGGGCTGCTTGCCCAGGGACAACACTTTGAGTATTGGGTAATTAGCATATGGAACACGGAAATCAGCTGACTTGAGTTTGGATTCTGATTCTTCTGGTGATCATCACTAGAACTTTGAATTAGTCACTTTAATAAACTTCAGTTTCTTCATTTACATAAATAAAGGCTTGTAGTAAGTTTTCTTTATTATTCCTTCCACTTATAAAATTCTATGAATTTTTTATTAATTACTCATTGATGTAAAACCACTTTTCCTTTGCTTCTCCTCATCGTAAGATTTTTACATTATATTTGAGCTAAATGGCTAACAGTGTACTGAAAAAAAAACTCCAGTAATGTATAGAAATGAGCTTCTTTTCTCAACTTCTTATATATTTGAATAAGTCAATTTATTGCCTTTTGTTTTTTTACTATGAGTAGATATTGAATTTTACATGCATTTGTTTAAATAATTGTATTAACAGACAATCTCTGTTTTCTATTCATAGCATTCTTTGAAATCTACATAAGATACTACTCAACAGCAGTGGTTGGTATGCATTTATTTACATCCCTGTCTGAGGAAATAACTTTTCTTCTATTGTAGGGATCATTTAAATGTCTTGCAAACATTGCCCTCTGGTGGAAGGTTATGTTAATATTTTAGAAGCAACTGTGGTCCTTGAGTAATTAAAATTACCGTTTTTCGTTTTTTTCCTTCGTCTCCTTTTGTATTTGTTAAATTAAAATTTAAGAGCCCTAGTGGTGCAGTGCTTAAGCACTTGGCTTAACAAAGGTCAGCAGTTCAAATCCACCAGCCACTCTTCGGAGAAAGATGCAGCAGTCTGCTTCCATAAAGATTTACAGCCTTGGAAATCCCATGGGGCAGTTCTACTCTGTCCTATAGGGTCACTATGCGTCCGAATTGACTCGATGGCAACAGGTAAATTAAAATTTACATCTAAAAATATGAAGTTTCTTTTGTGGGTAATACATTTACAATTGTCAGGTCAGATACTAAACGTCTTTAGAAATAAGCAGATTGTCTGAGAATCCTTTCAATTAACCAGTTATTATAAGGAAACTTCACTGTAGAAGATTTAGAGATGGTATGGCAATCACTAGAAAAAAATTAAAGGTTGTAGTTTGAATAGAATAAAGTGTGATCATTGTATAAATATTT